AGCTTTGCAATTTTGGGCCTCTAAGTCAACAGGTGGATGAGGATAATTGAATCAGATGTGTCTGGAGTCTGAGGCCCAGAGATCAAAGCAGTGGCAAGTCAGGCCAGAGCTACACACACACACGCGCGCGCACACACACAAGAAAATGAGAAAACCATGTAGACCTTCAGAAGCTGCAGCTTGGCTGATTAAAGAAACCTGACATCCATACACCAGTCTGACCTCCAGGTGCAGAGCCAGTGGGTCCGGGTCTCAGGCTTCGGGCACCCTCACTAAAGCAGTCTGACCTTGGGACACTAACATCCCTCTGCCCCCACCTATTCTCCACCATAACCCTACACCACCTGGAGGGGGGAGAGGGGGGGGGACGACAAAAGGAGAGTGGGGGCCTGTGACCACGAGATGTGAGGCTTTTCAATCAACATCAACAACTGACTTCAGAAAATGCGGAGACGATGTTCTTGTCAAACTTTCCAAGAAAGAAAAGAAAAGAAAAAGATAGCGGACAGGGAGTGGGAAGTGAAGTTCAGAGTGTTTATACATGGCTACAGAGCATGCAGATGAATCACAGAAGTCAGGGAGAGATGTGACAAAAACAAGGAAAGAAAATTCGCCTAAAGAGCGACAATGAGGATTTATTATCCATCCTTTCAATTTAGCAATGAAACATCTTTAAACATAAGACATTATATGAAACACAGATTACGTTTTATATGATCTGCTGACCAATGCAGATTGGCTGCTTTTATGTCCCACAGCATTGCTGTACCTGGGCTGCTGCTATATACGAAGCGGTAGCTCTATCTGGTGGCTAAATAAGGAATTAGAAATACCACAGCTTAAGAGGAACGGATGCTTGGAATTCAATATTTCTGACTAATGTTACAAAATATTATCCGCTAAACACACACATATACACAACATGCCACATCCACTTGTGTGTGATCTCAAAACAGCACAATTTTACATTTAGACATTGAAACCCGAACCGGCCAGCTTCAGAAGCTAAACGTAGCCCTGCCTATCACCTGACTAATGGTGCGTGAAACAGATCAAATGCTGCCACATCACAGGGAGGGACTCAGACGAGTTCCTTCTATTTAATCTTATCTAAATGAGAGAGACACATAAAAGGACTCTTGGTCTGGCTAATTTTCTCCATCAGGACATTAGTCTGTGATCTGAAGGTCTTTCATGGTCTTATCCTAATCAGACACCATGGTACTGAGCAGTCTGCTTGCCACAAAAATCCCCTCTATCCACACCCTCTAAGGCTGTATCTAACTGAAGGTAGCCACACGTTTTCTTTTACATCATCTGTAATTCAAGTTCGAGCACCTCCTAAGCAAACAGATGCAGGCCTATGGCCATACATGGATAAGACTCATTTAAACAATATGAGCAAGTCATATAAAATAAAGCCCAGGAGCAGAGGCAGTTTGGAAAAGATACCAGGGCTGATGCAGAGAGTTGGTAGTTAACCAAATCAAGATCTTTTGGAACTGTGGGAAGAAACCCACAAAGACAAAAGGAGAACATGCTTGTGCCACACAGCAAGGCCCCATCAGGCCTCTTTGTTCAAAATGTTCACACCCGTCTCGCTGTGAGGTGACAGAGCTAACTACCACGCTGCCTAATCATAATGACTCCACAGCTGACAGAAAAACTTTGAATTAAATATGGCAGCGGCGGGCCTGTGCTTCTTCTTACAGAGTGCCCTGGTGTATATTAAGCTCTCTTTAATGCAATTACAGTGCTCTCTTTTTATTATGCTAATGAGTTTATGAAGCCACTGGGCGGTAATTTGCCTTTCCTTGTTAATTGCAGTGAAAAATCAATGAGCCATTACTAACGTCACTTTGTTGAGCCTCTGAACTGCCTTGAGTCAGACGAAATATCTACAAGCATGCTAGGATGCTTAAAGTTTTAGCGAGGCGTGTTATACACATAGATGTATACCTGAGCAGCACAAGCCTCTTTAAAACAGAGGCCAATTTTAAAAGTCAATATTTTTTTAAGCATTTGGCTGATGTTCAAAGAGAAATGAAAGCCAAACAATTAATGAAAACGGAGAACACACTAATGAGCTACCAAGCTTTATTCTTCTCTTTATCTGCTCTGTGGGGGTTACACCTCAAGTTCAACAATTGGTAAAGTGTAAAGAGGGGAGGAACAGAAAGATGGATAGAGAATACGAGAGGTTCATCCTCTCATGCTGTTTTGAAGTATTTCTCTTTGAAAAGTCAGAATGGACAGCTCACGCGGACTGATGCAACAACTTGGCAATGTCTTTGGCTTTTTCAGACAGCGCTGCTGAGCAAATACGATGGGCAATCATTCACAAAAGCTGCGTGTATCCAGTTTCACAGCAAAGTTCAGTATTTTAAGTCTGGTAGAAGAACTTTAAAACAGAATGCTTCAATAAATACCTTATACATTAGCACCTTATATATCTGACAAAAAAAATGTTTGGGTTTTTGTTTTCCCACTTTCTTCTTATAGAGAATTAAATTCAAAAGGAGAAACAGGAGGAAGAGCCTACCAATCATGCAGTAACATGGCATCATCCTACTATACATACCAATTATTGTTTGAACTCTCATTTCATAGAAAACAAAGGACATGATTGCCAGGATGTCTCGCTGCCTTTTTAATAAGCAATTGTGAACTTTTCAAGAGATAAAAGATAACTTGGGGAAGATATATTATATTTTATATGCAAATGAGTTTGTCTTTTTGTTTGTTTCCCACTGAATCAGATTCTGCTCATTTATCAAATGAAGAAGCAGCTTGCCAGCTTAATGCAAACAGTTCTTTAATGCATCAAAAGCACTGTCAAAAACACTTATGATCTGTCTCACAGCAACTTTCTTTCAGTGAGACAACATTTATAAAAGACAATATTTATATAGTGAGACAATATTTATATTGTCTCAATATACACTTGGTAATTTACATAGCAGCTTACTGCTATAGAGAAAAAAAATCCTTAACCACTTAGACGCTGTTATCTAAGTGTTAGGAGACACTGCAGTGAAGCTGCAAATTATTCACTAATAAACCTGTGAAATACATCAGATAATCACAAGAAAATAAGTTCAGCTACAAATAATAGCCATATCTGTTTGTATGCACTTTCTATATGCTGGTCAGTCAGATCACTGAATTAATTTCCATTCATACTAGCCTGATCAGTGTATCACTCCAGACAGGAAGCAGATCAAAACTGAGGGGTTTTAAAAATCTGTATTGTATTTAGACAAACCTACAAAGCAGACTGACAGCTCTTCATTGTGTCGTACTGCAAATTATACACTGAACAAAAAAAGGAATAAATAAGCCTAGCTGATGTAGGGGAGGTCACAATTTACCACAACTGAAGCCAAGACTAGACTAGAACCAAGAACCCACTTAAGAAATAGACCATGTAAAACTGATCAACATCAGTCTTTAAAAAAAAAAAAAAAACCCCAATAAGAACTATAATGGGATGCCCATGTATGATAATATAGGCAGAGATCATAATCACTAACTCCTGATGCACACACAGGCCTTTTATTTTGGAAGCAAGCCTGAAGTATGACAGAAACCGCTCAGTTCAGAAAAGAGAAACAAGAGTTACCCCTAGCAGGCGTTCAAGGGGAAGATGTTAAGGTACTTAAGCCAGGCAACACCCACAATTGCTGTGCAAGCCATTTTGCAACCTACTACCATCCCTGCTCCACCTTTCATTCTCAGGCAGTGTTGTATCTGTTCCCATTGATGCCTGTTCTGTTCTGTGTTGTCAGTCTTGCTGCGGCTCTCCTCACCACAAGATTTCCATGCAGGGAGACAGATGCCTTCCTGGGCCCAGAAAGCCACACAGCCATGCCACCAAAAATAAATTAACAGATGGAAATATCAGCTTAAAACAAAAAACAAAAAACAAAAAAGTGTAGGTGTCCCGACTGAAAGAAAGTAAACCATGAAAATGCATAAAAAAATAACTTTAAAAAATGTTTTAAGGAATCCTTAAAATATACATATACTCCAATTATACATTATACATCAGGGGTCGGCAACCCTGAGCTAGCAAGACGGAGTTTCTATACAGCTGGGTGGGTGCTTTGATGTTACTGATAGTGAACTTTATTTTATTCATAAGGTTTGTTAGTAGAGTTGCCAACCGTGCCGTAAAAAAACGGAATCGTCCCGTATTCAGAGAAAATATCACGCGTTTCGTATTGAGCTGAAAAGGAACACAGTTTGTCCCGTACTTCAGCTACAATGGAAAAGACACAAAGCTGGATCTGCGTTTTTACGGTGTCAGCTGCCTCTTCTTCTCTCATTCAATCTTGAAACTGATCAATGATCAGCTGATCTGTATTTCTGACGCAAGTCCCGTTTCTCCTTTGTTTATCGCCCACTTTGCGCCAGAAAGAGGAAACCAGCGGATGTCGCGCTAAACAACAGCAGCGCGTTTAAGCTTGATCAGCTGTTGTTAGAATTTATTTAATATTAATTTCTAGTATCAGCTGATGTTTGCTGGAGCCACAGCTGTAAAAGCTGCTGGTCATGATATCAGTTTGGATATGTGGTGAGAGGGAAACATGAAGATGAAACCAGGAGATGTCCTTACGGAATCATCAGAGCTGAACAGGTGATGGAGAAACAGGTTTCCCTTTTAGGTGACATGAATGAGTTGAAGGGAAGTTATGAACTGTTTCTGAGAGACAAATAACACCAGGATCCTTTTCTAAGTAGCTGACAGCTGGTAACTGTGCAGGGGCGGGTCTAGCAAAGTTTTGCCAGGGGGCCAGGTAGGGCATTAACAGGGAAAGGGGGGCACAAAGAAATACTTTTCTTTCTTATTCTCATTTAAAATGTCTGGCTTTTATTAAATAATTATCTGAATCTTACAACCAAAGTTTTTATCTGATGTACAACGTATAGAAATCATACATATACCAACAAGACAGTGTACATCACTGTCACAACAGCATTTGTTTTCATTCACAGGCTTTATGGATTTTCCTATAATAGCTGGTGGGCCGGTCTCTAGTCAAAATGCCCGGCCTGATTTTTTTGTCCCAGTCCAGCCCTGGGCACGACACGCAGTGAATTAATCTGAGAGGGTGCATTAAAAAAAAATAAATGGCCGGGTGCACATCGCAAATTAGCTCGCATAGACACATTAGTTGTGCCGCTTCTTAATGACGGTATCTTAGCTAACAACCCCAACTACCAGATTCAATTTGTAATTGGCTAAAAATCACTTAGCCTACTGGTGAGAGGGACATTGCTAGCTGGCAGTTTTTTCAAGCAATGTTGAAATTTCCACATTCCGACACTTCAAATGCTTCAGGAACTCTCCGCTCTGCGCAGTAACTGTTAATATAGAGCGTTATTAAATTTATTGCTAATGCAATTATATGGCACATTGACTTCTGAGGAAATTTTAGATGGCACTCGTCATCAAAAACGTTGCCTACCCCTGTTATACATATACTCCAACACAATTAGACCTTGTAGGTCATCTTCATTGACAATACCTGTGATGATCTTTAACAGGTGTAGAACTGGGTTTGTCCTTAAGCAGATCCATTGTTAAACTGTCATCAGAACAGCCACTCAGCTCCCCCGTCACCCAGTCAGGCAGGCTTCTAACACCGTGCTCCACACTCAGGCTGCTCATTGGCTCATCAAAGTAGATGGACTAGAAATTAAAATTAAGTACAAGGTTCAGGAGATGAAGGTTCGGTTGGCTAGTTATAAACTCTCTGTTTAAACAATCCGCTGCAATAGTGCACATAAAGTACCAGTCAAATGTTTGGACACACTCACTCATTGAAATGAATGGGTGACAGTTTTCAAACTTTCTGAAGTGGTTAAAACCAGTTGTCAATACAGGAAAATATACGACTTGTTGAAGCAGTAACTCTTACCATGTATGTAGGAAGTGTTTTAAGGCTTCCTGGCTCTGGTTTGCTGGTGAAAGGCCCATCCAGGACCCCTCTTTTGAGCATCTGAAGGAGCAAACGGGCATACATGTTGCGGTTCTTGCGACCAATCAGACCTGAACCACATGTGGCTGGGTCGCACAGCTTCTTTATCCATTGGGCACAGCGCTGACGCTCTGAGAAGACAAGGAGAGAAAGGATCAGGAACTATGATGTAATAACTTTTTTTTTTGCAATAGCGTTTATACATCACTATTGTATTTAATCATTAGTAATTATTCAACTTTGGCTCTCTCTCATTGCTTACCTTTTGTCCTGTCTCTCGTCTTTCCCTTCAACCCCCAACTAGTTGCAGCTGGAGGCATCGTTCTTTTAAAAGGGAGGTTTTCCTTCCCACTACCAAGTGCTTGCTCACAGGGGATGGCTGATTGTTAGGGTTTCTTTTTTATATTGTAAGTCCTTTATATTACAATGTAAGTACCTTGAGGTGACTGCTGATATTAATTAGTGATGCATAAATAAAATGGAATTGAAAACTGAATGACATGACTAACATATCAGATACAGGGTAGTGTGGAGGCTATAGCCATTCACAGCTGTCATTCGGTGCAAATTCACAACAACAAAAGCGGGTTACGGGTCGTTAGTCTAGGGCTGTTTGTACTTGGGGTGACTGTGGCTCAGATATTATAAGCAGATTGTCTGGTGAGCTGATGGTATGATCCCTAACTCTGTCATTCCACAGGTCGAAGACTCCTTGGGAGAAAAACTCAACCCTAGCTTTTACCTATGTCTAAATGCTTTAAAGCATTCTCTCTCTCTCTCTCTCTCTCTCTCTCACACACACACACACACACGGATGCTTTAAAGCGTTTAGACATAGATAAAAGCCCTGTATGACTGTGTGTGTTATTGGGTGACTGAGACTTGTAGTTGTAAGCACTTTGAGCAGAATTAAATTCAAAAGAATGGCTATTCAAGTACCAATCCATTTACCATTTAAACGCGGGTTTGAATCGTAATGCATAGGAAATAACGGCTCACCTGTCTTGCTTGGGTGTTTGAGGACATATGGCTTCATGTCCAGCAGAAAATGGTCAAACTCAGTGTCCAGTCTCTCCGATGACAGCTCATATTTGCTCATGGTGATCTATATGGAGTATGCAAGTGAAAAAAGACACTAACAACGAGTACGCTGTGCTGCTTTGTTGACAAACACTACATATATTAACATTAGTTAAACAGTAATCCAAAGCGGAAACCTTACGACAGCATGACAACTAGCATGCTAACATTAACTAAAATAACCAGCATATTTAAAAAACCCAAACTCTAATTATTAGCTACTTGACTGGGACTCGAGCAGTGCATTAGCAAACATGTTGCAAATACCGTTAGCCGAGCTAAAGCGAGCAAACGTAACGCTCGTCCTTTCCTCTCTTACGGTTTCGTTTGGCTTTCACGAGCAGAACGAGAACGTGCTAAAACGGGGCACACTGTTAGTGAACATGTAAAAACTTAACCAAAAAGCGGCGTTCCCTGAGCACTGATTCCGCCGCTCAAAACGGTTCAAAACTTTAGAGTCCTCCAGCTACGCAACATCCGTTTTCCGCAGACATGCAGCGTCTCCATGTTGCCATAGAAACACGTCTCCTTTGCGTCCGTAGACGTACATAAGTATGTGTACATATTTGTCCCTGGCATTTTACAGCTTAATACGTTTATTTAATAATTTATATGCAGTTCGAGGTCTCTGGTTTGCTCACACTTTTATTTTCCAGCTTGTTTTAAAATACGTCTATAAAGTCTATTCTTAAAGGAGATTTTTGCCTGTGGCATGAATGAATATATATATATGGTTTTAAATAAACATCAGGCCGAGTGGTATCAAATGCAGTCAAATCTTTCTCCACTGTAGCCACGGATGTATCGGATCTAGTTTAAGTCCACACGATGGCGCTAAACGCCCGCAGTTTTATTTGCTTTCAGCAAGTGATGGAAGTTTCCTTCATATGATCCTCGTATGTTTTTCTTACTCCAGTGTAAAAAGAAGCAGAATAGTAAAGCCATTTCCTAGCTTTTTTTTCTTTTGTGTCTTTATTTAGCACTGGTGAAACTTTTCAGAATCCCAGCTGATGGTATAGTCATTTCTAACAAGTACAGCAAATAAGGAAATAGTTGGGTGCTTACAGAAAATCGAATCCATAGAGTGCACTTTGCGCATTCTTTTAGGGATAATTAAATATAGTTGACCCATTCTGATGTACCATTAGTCAGCATATGTTTTTACTTTGCTAGAAAATAAAAATGTCTTCCAACAAATAATAAAATACACCTTTTGCTTATTTAATTTCTTTGCATAGATTATGCAAGAATCGCCTCTGATTAATCGTGCGCTGAACTTGGAGTGAAATATTCCCACGGTACGTGAAGGCGGGCTTCTCCGACGTCACTCCGAATGAAAAAGAAGCGCTCAGCTGTGGTCCAGGCAGAGGGAAGGCGTGCGGTCCGTCTACAGCAGGCAAAGCTCCAGCACTTGTCCAGAGCTGTGAAGAGACAGGGATAATCACTCAAAAGAAATCGGTCGGGACAACACAAACTTAATTGTGTAGTTTTTGTTTTTAATTTGGGTTTTTTCCTCCTCCCCCTTCCCCAATTATGGCTGACCATCTTTTACATTATAATGATTCAGCTGGGGTTGGGAACAGATTCGCCCGCAAAGGTGCTTTGCGGCAGAAAAACGTGCATGAAGTGAAAAATCACAAGTTTACTGCGAGATTTTTCAAGCAGCCGACGTTCTGCAGTCACTGTACAGACTTCATTTGGTAAGTGTCACTCATGCACACACAGCGTAATATCCTCGGTCACTGCGATTTGCAGTGTTCAAGTTTAAATGTACCTGTGGCATTTTGTAGTAAAGCTTTCATCGAATTTAATGCATGTCATTAACTAGTTTTAATCAATATGGAATAAAGCGAATCCCATTTGCTTAGCTTTCCCCATGTTTCTGTTGCAGGGGCTTTGGGAAACAAGGATTTCAATGCCAAGGTAAACCACCTGCATGTCTGCACTGATGCATTTTTTGGCGGAGCCATAGACTCAGTATATAGGCACACACCCCTTAACTGACAGTCATAATTTGCCTGTTTGACTGACGAGACAAGTTAAGCGCAATACATCCACTTCAGCATTAGCAGTTGCGCAATAGTGATCGTTTGAGGTATAGTAGTATGAAGAGAAAAAATATATATAAAAACAGCCTGGAAAGTAAACACTTTAAACATAAAAAGGTTTATTTTTGTCAAAGGGCACATCTGCAAGCAATAAAGCAGAAGTTAGTATTTGCAGATCAGTAACTTTGAACTGTTTAGAGTATTTCAAACATTAAACATTTAGATTTAATATCCTGGACAACCATTTCAATGGTCAGCATTTTCCAAGTTTTGTTTGAAATAAGCATACCTTTGAGTGTACTTCCATGCAAAACAGTTCAGCAGGTTAGCTCTGTGCAGGCCGTTCAACACCTTCCATGCCATTGGGAGGATAATCCGGAGTGTATCTGGTTTTGCTTTGGACATACCTTCCTCTCTGGTAGCTGCTTCTGGACCGGACAATATACCTTGAAGGATGTGGGTTATGAAAGATCGGTTGATAACCTCTTGACGGAGCCATGACACTCTGGTAAACCTTGACCCTTGAGGGAACCTGGACCCACGGGGGGCTGAACACTGCATTTTGTGGCCGGGGGAACATCTTTTTAAATTTGAGCTTCCTGCCTCCAAAGAACTTCGAAAAAGCAGGATCCCCCCTCCAAGAGTGAGAGAAAGGCTTGGCTCGTACGTTACTCGGAGAGGATGGCTTCACTGATGTGAAGGTTTGCCCAGTTGCAGACCCTCTGCTCATGTAGTCGGTTCGGTCGTATCCTTCGACAGCATTAGTGCCAGGACCAGTACTTTGAGGAGGCTGGGAGTTTTCAGAGGGATACCGAAATACTTCCTCAAACACAAGACTGGGTTTCTTTCTTGAACGATAGCTATATCCACTGGAGATTGTGCCGGCGTCCTGCCCTGGGTAATCAAAACCTGAATCAGCCACCCTATTACCATTGCTCACTGGTTCAGGCTGCCAGGACTCATAGCTGCGAGGTGCCACAGCCTGAAAGGTTGAGGATGAAGCAGGCTCATAGTATGCAGTTTGACCAGCGCTTGTCGAGAGAGGCATAGTGCTTGTATAAACAAATGATGCAGAGCGAGGCATTACAGCAGCTAGTTTGGGCTTTGCTGGGTTAGCTACCTCAGAGCTGGACTTTAAAGGGAATAGGAGTGGCTCATTAAGGTTTACTAGCCCCCATTGTCTTGTCTCACCATTAACAAGTCCCTCTATCTTTTGCGCGATTTGTGGGTTCACTTGTTTTTGTTGAGTCTGCTGCCGTTTAGTCGAACGTTTGTTATAGCTTTTGTACACAAATCCAGCCTGCTGGTTGTCTGCAGCCTGCTGGTTACCCTGATCAGAGGTCAAAATGTCATCATCTCCATCATCCACTAGGTCACGTGGCTCTGCTTTATTTGGATACATATATCCATATCTATGCCCATAGCCTGTAAAGTGAGAGAACGTTTATATAGAAACTGCAGAGTTTAGACTTAATGTCAGAATTGAGAAAAGCAACTACCTTTTATAGTTGGTGAACCACCATTACTATCAAATAGTAAAGAAATACAGGAAACCCTGTAAGATAGCCAGATGATGCCATCAGATTAAAGTCTCATTTAGAGGTAACTGGAATAAATTGTGCTAACATCAACAAAACATACCAGAAAATGAGTCCAAGAGCCATGGCTGTTAGCTGAGAAGCAGTAACCTGTACTCCTCAGACAGTATGGCTTAAAGGGAAGTAGATTAGATCTAGGACCTGAGTGCAACCTCTGTCCTGTACAATACATCCCTCTGTGCTACTTTTCTATACCAGCACTCCAGTTCTTCATTAACAAAGACCACTTTCAGCTGCTGCTCACGTGGCAATTAGTGGTCAGGTTGTTAACAGGTGTGGCAGCTGAACAGCACCACCCTCTGTGTGGGTGTCAAAGTCACCCTTGTAAACATGTTTCCAGTGTAGACAGAACTATTCTGATTATTTGGAAAACACCGAACGTCTTTCTTTCTTTTTTCTTTTTCACTGACCGATAACTTTGTGTCTCTTGAGTCAGGTTGCAATATATTCCCTGAAATCAACACCCCCATGGCCCGCCGTCTTTGCCAGTTTTAGATTTCTCTCTTAGATATCTGACACTGTGGCAACAGGGCGATGAAGGAGGGAGACAAAGATATTACAGTAGGAGCAAAGTTTAATAGTTATTACAGGGGTCAAATAAAAGTTAAGTCACCACTTGGGTTGCTTAACAATAAAGAAAATAATACCAGGAGTCGACCAGTGGAGACATCAGCACACTCTGATGTAAGAAGTGTCCAGGCTGCTGTGCACTAAGCAGAGTGGCAATCTCTGCTTAGTGCAGTCATCCAACTATAGTACTAAAATGTTGTAATGGCTCAATCAGTACCTCGGTGTTTAAGTACCTTATTTCCCAAGGGATTTACTGTAGCAGATGTTATTTTGGTGTAGATTTTACACCAGATGCCCTTCCTGGCAAAAACCCTCCTATTTATCCAGACTTGGGTCCGGCACTGGGAGCACACTAGCTTGTGACCCCTGAGGCTGGGTTTTGTGTCTCTGCCCTGCCTCAAACCATGGATCTTAATCACTGCACCACAGAATAACTTCCAGTACTCCTGGATGTAAATAACATAAGGATGAAAGAGTGGGGGAAAAAAACCTCTGCAGTGATCAATGATAGAACATTTCATGTCTATTCAGTTAAACCGGCGTCTTAATAAAATGAGCTGCGATGAATGGTTAAGTGTACCAACTTTAATACAGTTTTCATCTCATGCATGTGTTGATATTTTTGCGCCAAACTTACTGAGTCATTTTGCAGAGTCATGCAAGAAGATCTGCTTGTCCTACATCTGCACAGCCACGCCTGACCTTTACATTTTCTAATCACTAACTCAGACGTCCCATTCCATTTTAAGAGGCTATAGTAGATGGGAATGTTATGTGCATGAACATTCATATATATACATGGTGTGCAGGGGCTGAGCTGTCTGCTTGCAGTGCTAATTGTCAGTGAGGAGTGAATGCATCTTGGAGGAGGCTGATAGAAACACGTTCTCGGATGCAGAAAGACTTTGTGCTTTTGAAAGTGTCCAAGTGAGACAAGCTTTGCTTTTTGAGAACTAAAAATATGATGGTTATTACGTGGAACACTAAAATGGACAGTTGAGATACATTTTTGTTCAAATATTGATTCCTTTAAGTTTTAAATCGAGGCACGAGTTGTTTTTTTCTCCCTTTGGTAGTGCAGACTCATGCACAGAGCTCCAGAAGGGAATCTCTGTGGAGCTGTTTCTCTGAGGCAGGCATGTAAAGTCACATACTTGTGCTCCTACAACACTGGCAGTCATTGTGATGCTCGTATCTATGCTGGCTAAAGGTGACATGTGTTACTGACATAGCACTCAGCCTCTGAGAGTTAATAGAAAGGTGATGTAGCAGAACTCCTGGAATCCTTCATCTTTATCCTTTTCCCAGCGTGGCTGATAGTTTATGGTTTTGTAGGCGCGGGCAGATTAACGGTTGCCTAGAGCTTCCAGATAACATTTTTTTTTCTTAATAATTCTCCTGTGATTACCTATCCTTACCACATAGTGGCAAATCCTGTCAAAGTATGGTTATGGCAAAATAAATGTTTTTATTACTGAAGTGATCTGTGTAGGTGAGGGACTAAACCCCTGCAGCTCCCAGTGTGGCGACTGTTTATTGCTAAGCATAACAAAGGTAATGTTGTTTGAGGTTATCGCGCAATGCATTTTTTTTTTCACTTCATTAATGCAGAATGAATCACTCATAAAAAGATTATAAGTGATACCTTTTTTGCTGAGCAACCTCGCATCTACTTGTGTTTTCCTGAACACGCACGTTCACTGTAACCTACTTTATTTAAGGCCACCATAGGAACACTCAGGATGTGACTCACCTAAAACACCTTGTTATTTACAAAGCGCTCTTTACGATGCGCTGTACAGGCCATTGGTTAGTGTACGTGGAAAATGCTGTGATGGAGAAACATCAGCACTGATACATCCTGTCAGATGGGCGTGCTGAGTTAAATTCGGCACACCAACACCATTATACACTCAACCTAGACGTCACTACCCCGTAGCTTCTCTCCCTCTCCTGTTGTGCTCATTTGTGTTTATGTATTCCCATTCTATTTTTTTCATAAATTTATTGTGTTGGGGGGAAAAAAACCCAGATTTTGGCAGAATGTAATATACATGAACTGGCCACTTCATTAGTTACACCTTGCTATTAGTGAGTTGGTTTTACCTTGACAGCTTCGTAGTTTTCATGTGGCTTAGATTTAAGGTGCCTGAAACATTCCTCAGAGATTTTGGTCCATATTGATAAGACAGCATCACATGCTGTTGGTGCTCTACTGACAGTGAACTCACTGTCATGTTCAGTTAATCAGTTTGAGATAACTTGATGAGTTGCTGTGTGACATGTTGCTTGCTGGAAGCAACCATCAGAAAATGGGCACGCTGCAGTCATAAAGGGAAGGATATGATCTGCACCAAAACTCATTAGGATGTGGTGTTTAAACGATACTCAATTGGCACTAAGGGGCTCAGAGCATGCCAAGAAAATACCCCCCACCCCATTAAACCACCACCAATCTGAATCGATGAGAGAAGTAAGGATGAATCCATGCTTACATGTTACTTGCACCAAATCTGACCCTACCATCTGAATGTTACAGCAGAAATAAAGACTCATCAAACCAGGCAGCATTTTTCTAACCTTCCATATTGTCCAATTTTGTGCCCATGTGACTCGTAGCCTTAGTTTCCTGTCCTCAGCTGACAGGAGTGACGCTCAGTGTGGTCTTCTGTTGCTGTAGCCCAAATCTGCTTCAAGGTGTGATGTGTTGTGCGTTGAGAGTTGCTCTTCTGCATTCTTTGGTTGTAACGAGTGATTATTTGAGTTACCGTTGCCTTCCTATCAGCTTGAAGCAGTCTAGCCATTCTCTTCTCTGACCTCTGACACGAACAATGAATTTTCACCCAGAGAACTTCCGCTCACTCATATTCTTTCTTTTCCCACCATTCTCTGTAAAACGCTACAGATGGTTGTATGGGGAAATCCCTGCACATCAGCAGTTTCTGAAATACTCGGGCCATGCCAATTTCACCTCAGTCACCTTTCACTCAAATTCTGTTCGCTTAAATCACCTTGCTTTCCCATTCGGATGATCAGTTTGAACTTCAGCAGGTCCTCTCGACTTACACTGAGTTACTGGCATGTGACGGGCTGATTAAATATTTGCTTAAACAAGCAGTTGAACAGTCACCAGGTGTCTAATAACGTGGCCAGTGAGTGTATGTATCTGAGTATACTCCGGTAAATATTGTATCCACAAGTAATGCTAAAGATAAAACCAAATGCAATCTCAATCACTTTTTTTGGACAG